ACTCTGCCCCGGGCTTCCTGGAATCAGCTGCTGATCAGTTTCAGCAGCAGCTGACTTGGGGACGCTTGGGGTTCTTAAGTTGATTCTGTATGTGAGTCAGAACTGGTGGTCAGTTTCAGCAGCGGCTGAATCTGGACGCCAGTTCTAACTTACATACAGATTCAACTTAAGAACAAACCTACAGTCCCTATCTTGTACGTAACCCGGGGACTGCCTGTATACCACGTCCACCACTTCTTCCTTGTCCACAAGACTCATTATCCTATTAAAGAAAGCTATCAGATTGGTTTGACATGATTTGTTCTGTACAAATCCATGCTGGCTGTTCCCTATCACCTTGCCACTTTCCAAGTGTTTACAGATGATTTCCTTAATTACTTGCTCTATTATCTTCTCTGGCACAGAAGTTAAACTAACTGGTCTGTAGTTTCCTGGGTTGTTCTTATTTCCCTTTTTATAAATGGGCATTATATTTGCCCTTTTCCAGTCCTCTGGAATCTCTCCTGTCTCCCATGATTTTCCAAAGATGATAGCTACAGGCTCAGATACCTCCTCTATCAGCTCCTTGCATATTCTAGGATGCATTTCATCAGGCCTTGGTGACTTGCAGGCATCTAACTTTTCTAGGTGATTTTAAAATTGTTCTTTTTTTATTTTACCTTCTAAAACTAACCCCTTCCCACTAGCATTCACTATGTTAGGCATTCCTACAGACTTCTCGGTGAAGATTGAAACAAAGAAGTTATTGAGCATCTCTGCCATTTCCAAGTTTCCTGTTACTATTTCTCCCTCCTCACTGACTAGTGGGCCTACCCTGTCCTTGGTCTTCCTCTTGCTTCTAATGTATTTATAAAAAGTCTTCTTGTTTCCCTTTATTCCCGTAGCCAGTTTGAGCTCATTTTGTGCCTTTGCCTTTCTAATCTTGCCCCTGCATTCCTGTGCTGTTTGCATATATTCATCCTTTGTAATTTGTCCTACTTTCCATTTTTTATAGGACTCCATTTTTATTTTTAGATCATGCAAGATCTCGCAGTTAAGCCAAGGCAGTCTTTTGCCATATTTTCTATCTTTCCGATGCATCGGAATAGCTTGCTCTTGGGCCCTTAACAATGTCCCTTTGGAAAACTGCCAACTCTCCTCAGTTGTTTTTCCCCTTCAGTCTCGATTCCCATGGGACAGTACCTATATTTTCAACGCTGTGCTTGGTGTGAGTAGCAGGGATATCATTGGTATGGCTGATACCTGCATTGTTTTTTTCTTTGGCATAGGTGTTTGTATGCCCAAGGATCTCAGGGTTGCTCGAGAGTCCTTCATGGAGTAGAAGACTTCACCGGTGCTGGCAGCAAAGAGCTTTTGGCAGTCATATGGAAGCTCCTCTATTACAGTGTGGATTTCCCTTGGGAAGGAGGAAGATGAGAGCTATGATGCACAACAACTGCTGTGGCTATGGACCTGGTGGCTGTGTCCACAACTAGTGCAGATTGGAGTGCTGTGTGGGATATTAATTGGCCTTCAGAGACCAGTGCCTGCAATTGTTTCCTGTCTTGAGGCATGTCATCAATAAAAGTTAGTATTTTGGAGTAGTTTCTGTGGTCGTATTTCACCAATAGCACCATGTAATTAGCCACCCTGAATTTGCGAGGTGGAGGAGTATACTTTCCACCCAAATGCCCCCATCCTTCTATTATCTTTGATGAATAAAGTGATCTTGAACTTTTGGTGTTGTTTGTTCTTCTGGTTAGCTGCTTCCACTACTAGCAAGTTGGGAGCAGGGTGTATGTAGAGGAATTTTGTGTCCTTAGAGGGAACAAAATACTTCCAGTCCATGCACTTGCTTGTGGGTGCGATGGAGGCAGGGATCTGACATATCGTTTGTGCAGGCTGCAGGATAGCTGCATTAATGGAGAGTGCTCTTTTGGAGGTAGCAGTGACTTGCAATATGTCTGTGAGCTCATGTTGGTTATCTGAGACCTCCTCCAAAGCAATATTGAGGTTGTCCACCACCCTCTTAAAGAGGTGCTGAAAGTGGGAGAGTTCATCCGTTGATGTGGATATGGTGGGCAGTTTGGCTTGTTGGGGTGGAGGGGGTGCCCTAGTAGCCATAGGTGAATCTTCCCCTGTGATTTCCGTGTGTATGTCTAGTAGAGATTCAGCATTAGAGTCCACCTCCACTTGAAGGGTTGGCGGGGGGAGGGTTGTGGACTTGCTTCCATGTATGCCATGCTCTGTAGTGTTCCCAGTTACCCCAGTATGGCAGGTAGCCAGGGAATGGTATAGGTGGTGCCACCCATGGGTGGGCATAACACAGGTATCGTGTGGCAGGTGTATTTTGCCTGCGTGGGGTTCTAGACTCAGGTGGGTAATAAGGTGGAGAAAGATTTTTGTTTTCTAAGTCATCTTCCTCCCCACTGGAAAAGTGGGGAAGGGTGGTGGGGGACTGGCAGTGTTGTATTTGTGGCTCTGGTGAAAAATCCCCATCCAGAAGAAGAGACCCTGGAGCGGGAAGAAGGTGAGCTCTGCTGCACTGTGGCATTGGTGCTGAGCAGAACCAAACTGCAGCCTGTGTCCTGGTGCAGAGGGACTGTGGTGCCATGTGAGGTGAGCTGGTGATGGCACTGTGGAAGCTGGAAGCTGAGTTGGTGTGAGTCACAGCTGTTTGTTGCTCCCTGCTGAGCAGGCAGGCAGCCTCTGCAGCTTCAAAGGCTCAAGCAGAGCTGCAGAATCAGAGGGAAGTGCTGCTTCTGCTGTTTGAATAGGCTGCTGTGAGCCTGAGGTCAGCACTGGGATCACTGGGGGGACCGTGGGTGCATTCAGAAAGGCGGATGCTGAAAGCTCTTTGCCTTGGCACTGCAGAGTCAAAAGCGCTCAGCCACAGAGTGACTGACGCTGATGAGACTGAAGCTTCAGGGAGTAGCCATACAGAAAAAAACAACAAATGGTCTGGTAGTACTTTATAGACTAACAAAACATGTAGATAGTGATAGAAATGTAGCCGTGTTAGTCTTGTCTTGCTGAAATACTGTCTTTTGTTAAAACATGTAGATGGTATCATGAGCTTTCACGGGCACAGTCCACTTCTTCAGATGACCAGAGTTTTGAGTTTAGGATGTACAGACCCAAAATAAATAGGAGAGAAGGAGGAGGAGAGGGGAAACAGGGAGCAGAGGTTATAGAAAATTCAGGAAGGTAGAGGGAATCAGTAAGTATCTGAAGAATGGGTAGTTAAAGCGAAGCAGTATACTTCCTGGCATAGTATCCTTCCTGGCTTAGAAATCTACACAAAGAGCTGTTTGCACCTTCATTGACTGTTAGGTAGATAGTGTCCTAATCATCCTTCATCAGGATTGAGTCCATTAGCATGAGAATTGAATTTGCGGATGAACTCTAATTCCAATGCTTCTCTGTGTATCTGGCTAGTAGGATTGGTTTGTGACAGGACAGCCACTTGAAGATTTTTTAAACGGTGATTAGGAAGATTAAAGAGTTCTCCCATAGGTTTCTGTATGTTTCCTTTACGTATATCTGATTTGTGTCCATTGATTCTTTCCCACAGAGACGATCCAGTTTGTCCAGTATATAGAGCAGTGGGACATTGCTGGCATTTGATGGCATAGATCAAATTACTGGATGTGCGTCAAATGACCTTTTGATTTGGTAGCTTATGTTGTTGGCTGCAGTGATAAATTCGCTAGTAAAGATATGTGGGCAGAGTTGGCATCGTGTTTGGTTGCAGGGCTGGGTTCCTGGATGCTTATGATGTGGTTGTGTGACATGGTTACTGGAAAGAATTCATTTCAGGTTGAGGGGTTGTCTGTAAGCGAGAAATCAGATACAGAGAACTCAGAAATATAGATACCATCTACATGTTTTGTTAGTCTATAAAGCGTTACAGGACCGTTTGTGTGTTTGTTTTGCTGACGAGACTGAAAGTCCATGCTTCTTCCTTCTGCCTGGGGAAGCACAAGAAGCAGGCTTTCTCCTGGACTTAGAGGGTTTTTGCTGAGACTCTGCAGAGTTTTGTTCAGAGTCCCATGCAGGTCTGAGGGAGTCGTGGAGCAGGGATAGCTTCAGACATAGCTCCCTGTCCGTCCGAGTCCCTGCTTTTAATTTTTGGCAGCGAGAGCATTTTTGGAGGTCATGGGACTCCCCCAAACATCTGACACACTCAGAGCAGTCATCAGAGACAGGGATGGCTTCTTTACAAAGGGAACAGCTCTTGAAACTGGGAGACGCCAGCATGTTGAAACGGAAGTGGGTTTTTTAAATAAACAGGAAGAAGAAAGATACTAACCAACTAGCTGTATGTTAACTGAAACTAAGTAGCTATGTAACTATGTGTAACTAAGAAACTATGTTGCTGAGGTGGGCAGCATGACAGCTGGACTCTATCTCTGGCCCAGACTGTAGAGAAGGAACTGCCGAGCCCAGACCATTTAGGCAGCAAAGTGGCGCATGGCCCCAGGGAGGGGCACTGCTGAGAAAAATCTCCGATCAAAGACGCTGGGATGCACCTTGACCTAGTGGAGCACCCACAGGGACATCTCTCAAAGGAGAACGTAGGCTCACAGGGGGAACCGGGAAGCAGACCAGGGATAGACAACATTGGGTTGGCTGAGGAAATAGAGGTCAACAGGGCAGCACCTTGCAGTCAGGATCCCCACTTAACCAGTGACCTGGTTGGTGCGTTGCAGCCCAGATTCCTGTAAGGGCCCTGAGCTGGGAGGCCGTGGAGTGGGTGGGCCTGTGTCCCACCCCCCCTCACCTTGGGTGGCAGGTTTTCCCCATGGGGATAAAAAAAAAACCCTTTGTTGGCTTTTCACCAGCAAGGAGACCCAATCCCTGCTCATCCTTCAGACAGGCGTGAGCTTTAAACTGTTTAACTGATTATACTGTTTGTTTATTGCCCCTGCCCTGATGTGGCTTGAATTGATAAACTGCTGCTCAGCCTGTAGCAAGGCTTGAGCCCCTTACCTGGCTTGTTGCCCTGCCCTGACCAGTGACTGGACCTTATCAACTATTTATCCAGCCTTTAAACTGTTGAACTGTTGTCTGCCCCACCCTGCACCAATGGGCCAGTGTAAAGATTGCTGAACTGCTTTGGGTTGCGGGCTCCACTACATGTAGTCTGGGCCCAGGCTTAAGGGGGACCACTGTTTATTTATGGGCCTGAGCACAGGTCTGGGGCCCAAGAGTAGGCTAGCTTAGCCTACAAGGACCTAAAACAGGCAGAATAATTCTTGTTGATGAACTACCATACGAACGGCTGTGCTATGCAAGTCTTCTGTTTAGGGAAGACTTGCTCTGTGATATTCTGGTGATAGACGTCCTGTTTCTTCATTGCCCTACAACTTTGTACAGCTATTTAAATCTGTGCAGGGTGATTGTAACATGTTACCAAAACAGAATAGTAGCACTTCCTGTCCATTCTGCCCACATGTAAATGACTACTCAAGGTGCAAAGCTTTGGAGAATCAGGACATAAGGTGTCTCTTGCCTCAAGGATGTTTGTTCTCAGTTTGTAACTACTAGAGCAAATCACTGATACCAAGAAGGGGAGACTAACTGGTTTGACTAGTGGTAGAAATGTAGCCGTGTTAGTCTGGGCTTGCTGAAACAAAAAACAGGACTGTGTAGCACTTTAAAGACTAACAAGATGGTTTAATAGGTGATGAGCTTCTGTGGGCCAGACCTGAGGAGGTGGGTCTGGTCCACGAAAGCTCATCACCTATTAAACCATCTTGTTAGTCTTTGAAGTGCTACACAGTCCTGTTTTTTGGTTTGACTAGTGATGACAGTATCTTTAGTACATCATTTAAGGAAAAAAATACATTGATTGATAAAGGAAAGGGATTATGATGAATTAAGATATTGATAGAAGGCTCTCAAAATCCCATTGGGTTTCAGCAATCTGCAAGACTGTCTCTGTCTCCAGCTGGAGACTCTTGAACTAATAGTCTTGACTTGGTTGGAGGATCCTAGAAGAGTGTTCCCATGGTGTAAGGAAATGCTCTGCTTGCATAGAGCAAGTGGAGGAAGTGTATCCGTGTGACAGAGTGGGAATAGGCTAGGGTTAGCTCACCACTCTGCACACCTTGCAAGTGCCCTTGCATGGGCCAAGTTGAGAGGTAATTGATTAGGACTGGTAGGAGTCAGCTCATCAGCTGGGGACTGTTAAATAGAGGTGGTGGGAGGTAGTGGAAAAAGACTAAGAAGTCCAGAGAAATGAGATCTCTATCCCCAGCCTCTCATGTTATGCCTAGGGAATACACTGAAACCTGGGGAAAGCCTTATCGTGATGGGACATGAAGTTATCCGTTGTTGAATGTCTATAGTGTGGTGAATTTATGTAAGCATGTGTGAGGATTGCTTGCAAAGAAATACAGGGTGAGGAAGCACAACCTACGATAATCCCCCAACCTGTGCCACATGTTCCTCCCCACAACAAAAAGGTGTTAAAGATGGAGGATATACAGCCAAACTGATCTCTGCTACGTTTGTCCTCTGCTAGTGTAAAGGACTTTATGCCCTCAGTGGCAGCAGCAAAAGTTAAAGTGCAATCTGTTCTGCACTCACTTGCATGTAACAAGGGACCCCAAATCAACTCTGTACAATTGCACTCGGACATAGTGAAAGAATTGGGACCATAAACTCTCAATGTGAAAATCAGGGAGCAGGTTGCAAAGCACTGTCAATTGAGAGCCCTTAATGTGGAATTCCCTGTCCAGCCTGGGTTTTCTGAGCCCACTTCCATTGGTTAAATAGATGAAGGCCTTTTGCAAAAAGTGACTCTTATAATAATGATTTGGGTCAATATATGTTTGATGTTACTCTTTATATATTAGTCAAAGTCTACAGACTACTCAGTGTGTACATTTTAAAATACAAAATAACCAAAACCAAGATTGGAATAAATGATTTTTTTATTTTTGCACAAAAGAATACACTGTATTGAAATGAAAAGCTGGACTAATTATCTGCCATTTTACAAGCATGGAAATGCTATACAATATAAGAGTGCTTGAATATATAAAATATTGAAATAACATTACAGACTGAATAAGCAATTCAGGTGTGCTTACTGGCAGCAGTAAATTCATTTAAAGATTTCAGCATTAGCATTAGCAGAAGTATGAATCATTAGTGCTCATGATAAGGAACATCATAACCAAGAGTATTCCCAAAAGGATATTGAGCAAAGAGGGTTCTGGCCATTTCGTTGATTCTGGTGTATGCTCCCAGGGTCCGGAAATACTCAACGTATGACCAAAAATCACTGGACCAGAAAGGCCAGTACGGGAGGGCTGCAGGTTCCTGATACGTGTCTACAATAAAAATTGCAGAATTAGATGAAGAGAATATGAAATGTGTTGGTTAGAGCATGAGACTGGGAGCCAAGACTCCTGGGTTCTAGTCCTAGATTTCTGTATGAAGTAGGTCACTTACCCTTACTGAAGCCCTGATTCTCTAGACCTGTTGCCCTTTATGCCACCAGGTGGTTTTCTGCCTGCCATACAGCCACTGTAAAAGTTGTACACTGCCGACTCATTTGTCCCTTGTGCAGGGGAGACGATGGGCAGACCAGAGAGGGAATGAAGAAGGGCATGGCCAAAGTATTTGTGGTCTGGTATAATGGCCACAGAGGATTGTTAGATGCTGGCCCAAAATAGAACAGGCCTGGGGCTGTTGTACTTTGTGTTGTAGGCTGATTGAGGACTAGACGTAGTTAAAATTACAACACCTAAAGGTGGCTTTAAGCAAGATTCCCTCTAAGCTGTGCAGTAACATGGCCCCTCAGCTGCTTAATAGCCCAGTCAGGCAGTTCTGTGCATGGAGCCCTGAGCCCCTGGCTGGCTGAATAAGCAGCTCCAGGACTGTGTTGTCATGCAGCTTGGAGGGAACCTTGGCTTTAAATAACCTCTGCCATCCCCTTCCACCACTTTCCTCTGCCCAGGACAGGAATGGTGTATCTAAGAATCTGGCCATGTGTCATTAGATCCATCTCTTAAAGGTATAATCCTTGTAAACTATCTTACAGGGGTACTGAAGTACTTACTCACTTAGGCCAGGTCTACACTAGACCGGGAAGGTTGGCTTAAGGTACGCAACTCCAGCTATGTAGAATATGTAGCTGGAATTGGCTACCTTAAGCCCAGTGTGGCACTGTGGGAGGCCGATGGGAGCAAATGCTCCCATCGATTTCCCTTACTTCTTGCGACTGAGAGAAGCACAGATGTCAGCTGGAGCAGTCCTCCGCATTCCATTTATGGCGCTATACTAGACCCACTAAATCAAACATGAGAACGTTGATCTCCAGCGCGGTGAGTGAAGACGTGCTATGTGATTGTAAAGTACTGCTTGTTATTAGCCTAGTGAGAAGCACTCCAAATTGAGCAGGTTGTAACTGAAAATGCTGTTCTCAATATTAGGATATTTCATAGAGTAATGGAATCAATGGAAGTTTTGAATGACAACTGATGGCATTGTGTGACTTTATACAGGAAGGTTTTCCAAAATCCTCTGACATTGGTATTAATTATTCTGCAAACAAAGACAACTTTTCCTACACACACTGCAAATGACCGCTTGGATGCCAAACAATTTGATTCTTGCTATCAGCTAAGAGGATCCCCAACTAGAATCCTTTCCACTTAAACAACGTGAATAGCACAGAACTTTTCTATACTTTTCCATGATAACACAATTAACATTTATTTGGCTTCAGCTTCCTGCAGGGTACAGGCCACATTCCGAGACTTCTCATACCCACTCTGAGACCTGATTGTACAAGTGGCTCCCTGCAGGTTGACCCTTGCATCAATAGAGCTCGGTGAGGGTAAGGCACAAAATACACTTAAACCTCTGTACTTTGGGTGATCCTAATCTGGGAACACCCATGGTATGGAGGGGCTCTGCGCACTGCCACTCCCCCTTATCCCCAGCTGGAGGTAGTGTGCAGAGCCGCTTCCCCTGCAGCTTTTCTCCACTGCTCCCATAATGGCAGAGGGCAGTGCCTGGGAGCAGCGGAGAGCATGGAGCTACGTTTGCCCTCAGAAGTGGGGTGGCAGTGTAAGCTCCCTACCCCCCACTCTTTCACACCCAGACCCTGCAGCACTCTCCATAGCCCAGCAAAATCTTTAATCTGGCATCCCTGTTTCCCAGACTTGCCAGATTAAAGAGGTTCAAGTGTATCAGGGTCTAAGGTGGCTTGCAGAATTCTAAAGCCTTGGAATTGTGTCACTTCTCTGTAGGTAGCAAAACCAAAAGGCTACAAAGATGGAAAGAGAGATAGAAATAGGAAGTGTCTAGAAGTTGCAGACACTGCCCAATGTGCACACAGCCAGGTTTTGACTTTGTTTGTAAAGAAAATGGCTTAGGCTGCCAGTTCAGTGTGCTAAGGGCCTGATGCTTCCAGGTTCTGAACACCTTTAGGTCTTGATCCAGTAAATCGCTTCAGCATACATGGTACTTAGTTGAAGTGCCAACAGGCATAAAGTTAACGTGTGTACTTCAGTGCTTTGCTGGATGAAGACATCTGCTCTCCTAATATTTTGGATATGTCCAAACCCCATTGAAGACAGTGAGAGTGTTTCTATTGACTTTGATGAGCTTCAGATCAGACCCTTTAGTGGGAACTAGTGGTTGTCTGGAGTCCTGGGATCAAGCCCTAATTTCACAAGCTAGAATTTGCAGTGCATAGTCACAGATAGCAACAAAACAAAATCAAGTGAATCAGATACTGATATCTGTGGAATTGAGTCCACTGCTTGTATTAGATGGCCTCCAGGTTCATGCTGCAGTCTGCTCCTTGGAACAGTGCAAAACAAAAACATTTGCTGGTGTGCACTGTAAAATATTACCCCCGCTAGGTTATTATATTATAAAATACACACCAAGAAGAAGTGTGTGTTTTTTAATTGGGCTGTGGGGTTAAAATTATTTCCTGTGTTCAAATAAAATATTTCACTTTCCTTATTACATCTTAAATTTGTTAATGTGCAGAAAAACACTGAGTTGTGAGGTATAATTAAAGTAAGACAATGAGGCTTGTTGCATGGAATTAAAACATTTGTTTTCAATAACATATACTCACATTCTTTCCAACCCAACCCCCATTGTCTACCAAGGTTCATGTTTTGATGGGCATTGCTTTTTACCTGTGGAATGTTACATTATTGGGTATCAGCATATTCAAAACAGTTCTTTGCTCTTATGACAACACACATGCCAGTGAATGTGGTATAGTATTTGTGTTCAGCTTTTTTTCTAGCAGTCATAGAAAAATTGTCTGTCATATGCTCTTTGCTCTGAATTAGAATTTAAGCAAACATATGGTCAACAAAATTCCCCCATGTTGTCCTCAGAAATAACTAGCTAACTCTAAATCAGTGGTTCTCGAAGTGCGGTCTGCAGACTACTAGTGGTCAGCAAATGTCTTGCAGGTAGGCTGTGGGTTCCCTCCACCCCCCGCAGCAGGAAGTCTGTGCTGGTACTCCAGCCCCATGGCCCCTCATCATGAGATTGGAGTGCCAGTGCCAGGTTCCTGGTGCGGGCAGGGGGAGCCTCGTGGGCCAGATGCAGCTTGCAGGGGGAGGAAGCAGCTCTGCATACTGCTGCTGCTCCTTCCCCTGGCTGGGGAAATGACAGCACAGGAAACAGCTCACCTGGAGGCTTGGCCATGCCTGGGAGCAGCAGGGGGCATGGAAAGAGGTAAGTACCCCTATCCCCCTCATGTCCAGACCTCATTTCCCCATCACCTCCACCCCTAAGACCCACACCTACTTCTGTATCCTCTCTCCCTGCCCCCCACTCCACTCCTGCACCCTTTCTGTCCCCCTCCCAGACTCCCTCCATCCTTCGCCTGCTCCGGCACCCATTTTGTCATGGTTGGTTGACTGGTAGTCCACAGAAATGTTTGTGTTGAGCTAGAGGTCAAAAAGTTTGAGAACCACTGCTCTGAAGCACCAACACCTATCAATCAATAAGGCATTTTAAATATTGTTAGGGTGACATTTTAAAAGTAAAGGCGAACATTGCATACTATCCCTCAGTTGATGTAAAATCTGCATTGCTCCAGACTCTGTACTGATATGTGCCGTCTGAGAGTGTGTAACTATTTTCTTTTTTAATTGGTTTTCTGGTAATTTGATTTTAAGCTTTTTTTGTCCTGGATGATGGGATTTCTTGCCAATAAGTAGACATGCATCCAGAGGTTCCTGCAAATCCAGTATATTTAAAAGTCTGGTGTTAAATAAGAACATAAGAATGGCCATACTGGGTCAGACCAATGGTCCATCTAGCCCAGTATCCTGTCTTCTGACAGTGGTCAACACCAGATGCCCAGAGAGAGGGAACACAACAGGTAATCCTCACGTGATCCCTCCCTCTCCTGTCTCCCATTTCCAGACAAACAGAGGCTAGACACACCATTTGTACCCATCCTGGCTAATAGCCATTGATGGACCCAACTTCCATGACTCCATCTAGCTCTTTTTTTAACCTTGTTAAAGTCCTAGTCTCCACCATCCACATCCCCTGGCAAGGAGTTCCACAGGTTGACTGTGCGCTGAGTAAAGAAAAACTTCCTTTTGTTTGTTTTAAACCTGCTGCCTATTAATTTTATTTGGTGACCCCTAGTTCTTCTATTGTGGGAATAAGTAAATAACTTTTCCTTATTCACTTTTTCCAAACCAGTCATGATTTTATAGTCCTCTAACATATCCCCCCGCCCCCCTCCCCGCTTAAAGTATGTCTACACTAGCCCCCTAGGACACCTTTTGAAGTGTAATGAGGGCAACTGAAATAGCAAATTAGAATGTTCCCGGGTGGTCGCCATTTTGGAAATTGACTAGCCCGGAAGAACTGCCGCAGAGAAGGGCGATTCCAAAATAAACCCCTTACTTTGAATTACCAGTTAAACCTCATGAGGCATAAATTAGTCCCCATCATATTGTATGTATAGTTGGGATTATTTTTTCCAATGTGCATTACTTTGCATTTATCAACATTACATTTAATTTGCCATTTCGTTGTTCTTAATTCATGATAGTATTGTAAAACACACAGTCTGCTGATCATCTAAGGTCTTTCCTTAGTTACCAGTTTTTCTGTTTTTGCTAACAAATCTTCTCTCTTTGTAATATGAAAAATGTTTTTACTTTAATCAATTGCCTAACAACACTTCATGCATTTATTTATTTACTTCTTATTTTATACACTATCATCAGCAACAGATGAAAACATCTCTGTCAGAGCCTGATTCAAAGCCCTTTGATGCAATAAGAGTCTTCCCCACTGACTATAATGCATTTTGGAATTGGTCCACCAATTACAAATGTCTCTTCCAATTTTTAGAAATGTAGGGGGGAGAAAATGACTGAAAAACATTACCGTCTTCATCCTGTATTGGCCGGGCATCTGTAAATAAATACACAATAATCAGTAGCAGGTCTCTGAAGGGTTTGCAGTATACAAAGATGTGCTGTATAGCCCAGAAGCTGACCAACTCTGCAATGCATTGATGCCTACTGACAGCTACGCCTACTGACAGCTAAACTAGTGTGTTTGAGACCACTGAATAAAGACCACTGTTTCCAGTTATTCAGTGATACAATCTGAATAATGTTTGCCTATAATGGCTGGTGTACAAATAACATTTGATATCATATGCAAGTTGACAGATGTTGATTAAAACATTTAAGACAGTTGGAAAAAATAAAGAAAATAAATATAAAAGTTAACTTACCTGTTAATGCATTCATCAACATGTAGAAGAAAATTAAGCCAATAAAGATAACTCTCATGATCTCTGCAAATTATTATTCCTGTTTTCAAAATATCTATAAAATGATATAGAGAGAATATATCAAAATACATTTATCTTCTACAAAAAAAGATTGGAATAATCTATTTTTCACTAAAGTGACAGTAAGATATTTATGACATATCCAGATGTCTCCAATCCTCCAAATCCTAGAAGCAATTGGCACTGGCCACTGCCAGAGACAGGCTACTGGGCCAGAGGAACTGATGTTTTGACCCAATATAGCTGTTCTCATGAAAATTGTTGATTTAAAAAAACTTTCAGTATGTTACAATAACTGCAGTGCTGAGACTTGCTGTTCTTCTGGATTTATGGAATGTTAAAATTAATAGAAGTTCACCTGCATTGTCATGAAATTAAGTGTTCTGGAAATATTTTGTTTTGTAGTTACTTTAGTTTCACTGTAGAAATGACCCTTTCCCCTACCTTTCTTTGGAATGAGTCTTCAGCTCTGTGTCAGTTGCAAGAATCTGAATCGGCTTCTATTGCTGTAAATAGCACCACAGTTTACAGAAGGGTGGGGAATAAGGAAAGGAACGTCACTTACTTAATTCACCAATCTGATTTTTTTCAGATTAATCTAGAAACATGTCGCTGTCATACATCTATAATATATTGCAGATCCATCTGTGGTTAGAAATGTCTAGAAAAACTTTGGGAATAAAATTCCTATATTATAAAACTAGAAAAAAATATCCAGTAACTAATTCAGTAATTACAGATAACACTATCTCTCTAATTTTTTTTCTTTCGGAAAAGGTCTTCTCAGAATTTTCATTGGCACTTATTGTAAATTTTGAGGTGGATCCCCCCTCCCAGGAAGCTTGCCCCTGCCATCTCCAGGGAAGCTGATAACCCACCTCCCTGTCCTCAGCTGGACCAGCTCTAGCCTTGGGGAATCTGGAGGCAGCTGCCCAGCTTCAGGACTCAAAATCACAACTCCAACTTCTGGAGGCTGACACCTTATTCACTAGGCCACTGAAGGATCCACCCCAGACCCAGGCTTCTCAAGTCTTCCTGTATATTCTCAAATGTTCTCTGTGACAGACACCTGTCCTTTTATAAAAATATAGATATCGACTTACCAGAGGGGAGAGGCTGGTTTCCCATGGGCAATGGGTACTGTGGATTCACTTCTATGCTGGCTACTGAGATTGCTGACTGGACTTTAAAATCATTTGGAGGAGGAGACAGGTCTTTACCATTGGTGATTTTAATTTGTACCACACTTTCCCCTTTTTGTATGCATAAAAACCATGCCGACAAGAGGTTTATCTGTGGGATAAAGGGGAGCAAATAAAAGTGTTCTCATTAAGGGGTGCAGAGGATTCATGTACATCTATTTGGCAGGGCCAATTCAGATCATGCTGCTGAATCTACAGTTGCAGGGGCTTCTAACTTCCTCACCCGCTCAGACCAGGTTGAAATGTCAGGATGATGTTCACAGCTCATGTGCCAGGCCCATAGGTATAGGGTGCAAGCTGCTTCATAACAGATGGAGAGATCCATGGTCATCATAATGTGAGCTATCCTTTCATTGGGGTCATCTTAGGTCAGGGGTGGGCAATAATTTTTTGAAGTGTCCCTGGGCTGTGCCGGAAGGGGCGGGACCAGGATGCTACTGGGCTTCTCCACCCACAGACCATGATTGGTCTGGGGGTGGGGGAGCCCGTTTGTCCCCCCCAAGTTTCCCCTAGGTACCCATGCCCCTGGCATGGCAGGAGACTTCCTGTGTTCCTCCACGCTCCAGGCTGATCAGGGTCTGGAGGCGGGGGAGCACACAAAGCCTCCTACTGCCCTGCCAGAAGCATGTGGCAATTCTAAGTGCTGCACGCTTCTCACAGGTTGGGGTCAGGGCAGAGGAAACTTTGCGTGTTCCCCCCGCGCCCCCGCCAATCAGGGGTTGGGGGTGCAGGAGCGCATGTACTCTCCTCCCACCCTGCCAAGAGCATGTGGTGGCTCCTGGCAGGGTGCAGGAAATTTCATGCTCCTCCTCCTGTCCCCAAACCCTAATTGGCTTGGGGGAAGGGTTGCAGCAGCGCCTCCATGGGCTGGATCAACCCGGTTGTCGGGCTAGATCCGGCCCACAGAGGCTCTTCCCCACCCCGTCTTAGGTTTGCCTACGCCCTGCTTAACCAAGAGCTTCCATCCACTGCTCCTTTCACTCCCTGCAGACATACCTGCTATCATTTCCCTTTTCCTTGCATAATGGGACTGGCCCATGCCCACACTCTGAACCTGCTTAGGTAGAAAAGAAATACAGTCTTGGAAAACTGGGGGCTTAAGAAGACTGCACCCTCAACTTTGGTCCTAGTATGTGGGGGGTCCAACCAAACAGCTTTGCAGGGGTTTGCAGTGGAAATTATCCCTGTCTGTATATATTCCTGCAGGAATTATTCTGTGGCCACTGCAAAAGGATGGCTTCTCATGTAAATAAGAGAGGGCCTTATTGGAGGGCCTGGGCCTGGCCAACACAGATTACTAAAGAGGTGCAGCTGAGAGGATCTGGTGATTTCCCCTCTAAAGGGCAGCTGGAAGCATCAGTGAAAAGAATTTTCCTTGCAATATCTGTCTCGAGTACAAACTCTTAAGTCATGAGCAAGACACAAAGCACAGTGCATGGCAGTCTTAGACTCTATCTTCAAGTGAGTCTGCAAGAAGAGGAGAAGGAGAAGGAGGGATGCTCAGACATCCAGACTAATAGAAGTGAGGAAGCTCTAGCAGAGAGCCAGGACTGAGACTCCAGCCGTGTAGAGCTTCAGAGTGTCCTGCCAAAGCAGAAGAGGCCCCAGGCAGGAAGAGTTAGGAGGAAGAAGGTAAATGTTTGTTTATTAGACTTTAATTTGGGACTATATCTTCTATGAATAAACCCAAGCCCTCAGAAGAGGCACTTTGACCACTGACAAAATGTCTGGCATTGACCCTTCGGTAGAAACCAGGCAGGGTCTTGCAGAGTGACCTTTGGCCATGAGCGAGTGCATGGGTGATGACTGACTTCGCCACATTTATCACAAAGGCAGCTCAAAAACATAACATCTCCGTGGCTTTAGAATACCCCAGGTGAGGAGACATAACTCATATGGGATGATGACAAGGCAGAATAAGGACACAACTGAAGTAGACTTTAACTGATCCTTTCCAGACCCTCACTTTTATTTTTTTATTTTTGAAATAGAAGAATAAGTATATGAACATGGTAATACATTTTCTGGGCTGTAGGTAGTCACCATAGTTACTGTGGAACTCCTTGCCACAGGAAGTTGTTTAGGCTAAGATACCGATTTAGAGATTTAGAGAGGAATTAGGCGCTTTTATGAGTAACAAGAACATCCAAAGTTATAGGAATTAATGCTGACAAGAAGGGGGTTCTACAAGTGCTAAAAACACATTGCAGGTTTTAATGGGCTTCTTACACTGACTTCTGTAAACCCCATTGTTTGAGGAGTATAAGGGAAGTTGGAGGAAGAGTGCTCTATTGTGAAATAAGTGCTGTGTAGACATGCCCAAATTCAAAATAAGCATTTTCAACTTAAACTACTCATTTAACATAGCTCAAGTTCCATAGCTTATTTTGAGTTTAGCTCTGCTGTATAGAGATTAGGATGAGACCTCCCTTGGTGGCAGACTATCTTACATCTACTATCTACTGTGGGGTGTCTCATATCTTCTTCTGAAGTATCTAATGATCCCTCTCCCAATGTTGGCGACAGAACAGCAAACTTAGATGGACCTGATGCGGCAATAACTCTGTACTGGTCAATACATGCTTTCAGTCTTAATGATCTCATATTGCTTTTCTGCTTACTAACAACAAATTGAAAATGCAAATGTGAAGGATATCCATTCTGCAACACTAAACGGAACCTGGGCAATTATAAACAGAGGACTAAAAGGAAATTTAAAACCACTCTTTCTGTTGTAGATAAAACTGAACAAGTGCTCTGACTTGTGATATTTTCTGCTTCCTGGCTGTACCTGTTTCAGACTAAAATGACATTGAAATACAGAAAGATTGAGGCATTTGAGCTGACTTTTAAATTCAGAACTGGGATGGAAGAATGCTAGTCAGATTGTTTACATTCCTAAAAAAAAAAAATAGTAGTCCTGTGGCACCTTAGAGACATAGGGCATGTCTGCTCTAGGACATTATTTTGAAATAACTTATTTCAAAATGATAACTCTTGAAATAATAATTTTGAAATAGTGTGTCCACACTATGGGGAAGCCTTGAAATTAGTCCAGGCTCCTTTAATATGGATGCACTACTTCGATTTAGAGCCCCAGGAAGCACTAGGGAGTAATTGGTTTGAATTACTCTGGCATGTAGTTATTTTGAAATAGCAGCACCAGAGCATCCACACTACTGTTTTTTTGAAATAACTATTTTGAAAAGCATTATTCTTTATGGAAAGCAGGAGTTATTATTTTGAAATAACCAGCCCGTTATTTTGAAATAACGGGCTTGGTAGTGTGCATACTCCACTTGTTATTTCAGAGTAACTTCCTAGGATAGACCAGAGCTAACAAAAATATATAACATGAGTCATAAATATCATATTATATATCAAATATCATAAATATCAAGATCATCTCATCCGAGGAAGTGGGTTTTGCCCACAAAAGCTTATGATACTATACATATGTTTTTATTAGTCTCTAAGGTTCCACAGGACTACTCATTTTTTTAAAAGTTGTTTTTAAAGTTACAGACTAACTACCCCTTGTTACTTTCCTAGGTAGAATAAATTGCATTCTTAACACTGTGTGCCAAACCAAATTCCTCCACATTTTCTGGAAGCTGCCCAACACATACACTGTAGACTATTTTGCAACATTTTTAATATGTTGCATGCATTCTCATTTGATTGTCCTCTCTTTGTCAAAGTTCATTTGTGACAATACTGTGAAAGCCATAGTGTACTGTGCTCAACACAAATACTTATATAGATCAATTAGCAGAACATTTTGTCAGTGATCACTGACTTGCATGCTACTGAGCAGTAACTGAAAACTCCATCATGCCCACAAATGCAAATTTGGTAAAGCC